AAGCAAATGAAAACAAAATACGATGTGAAATGGGACAAGAAAGCTATGCTGTTATAGTGTTTTCTAAACGTGTGTTCCCGATTTGATGGCAGATCGGGACTCTCGTCCTAGTTTTTGTAGTCACAGCTAAGCAAAAAATTATCAACTTTGAGCAAGAAAAAATCCAGGCACATGAAATTTTTGACATATAAATTATGTTGCAAAAATGTTCAAAATCATCTGACTTGTCTAAAAAGCCCAACTTGAAAAACAGGACATTGGCATTTTAAGCTAAGTATGATGCAGCGCTTATTAAACTTACTGTGATAAAGTGCACAGCTAGTTCCCTTCTGACCACTCTTCTGAGAATTTTCGTGTGCCTGCCACTGTCCAATGGCACTGTCTATTTCAATTTGTACCATTAAGCCACTGAGTGTAGCTATAAGTCCGCCTGTAATTGAGCCCACTTGCATGCAAGCCTATACACAAGCCCGAAGAGCAAGGTCCTAACTAAGACTATATTATTGTCAGCATCAGGTTTAGCACTGGGGGGAGGGTGCACCCCAATGCATGCTAAAGCGTTTTATATGGAGTGATGGGTTTTATTATCACAACATTTATGACATGAAAACTACTGTGTAGATAACAACAGTATAATATAGTCTATACATCGCCCCTCCCCCCTCACGTGTTTAAGCGCTCCAGTGTATAAGCTCATGAAAAAGGGGGTTACTGACTTATTTAAGCCCTGTTTTTTGACCATTTATGACTTGTTAATGTAGTGTTGTAGACATGCCACTATTAAGTTAATTAACATTTTGTACAATTTATGTGTTTTCAATAGGTTCCGTGACTTGCGCTCGACAAAAAATAATGTACGCCAGCTGTCGTAAAGGACAATATATGGTAATAAAGACTGCAGAATATCGTGGATTGAACCAAAGAAATGTTTGTGGTTCAAGTTACTATTACAACTGTAGTGTTGATGTTACATGTCGTCTAAAAAGACTTTGTGATGGCAAACGAGAATGTAATGTAACTGTCGATGATAATCTTTTCCCTTCAAAAAGTTGTCCTGGTTTGGACAAATATCTTTACTTTGAATATCAATGTACCTCTACCATGACGTCATTCAATGAAATTTGCAGTAAGTAATGTGGAAATGTAAAGTGCTTTTGATTGATTTGAAGAACTAAATGATGTAGTTATACTTCAATGTCTGCCGGAATAAGATCACTAAGGAGAATATTCATGTTCATCAACTTGTTATGTTCATCAACTAATGATCTTTTACGATTTTTTATAGTTGAAGATATCCAGTTATCACAGTCGACATTACCCAGCGAAGGTTTTGTAAAACTTTTTACTAAAGATGACGGGGATTTCGCTGTCTGTAAAAGTTCCTTGGGAAATGTCAAAGATAACGTTTGTCATTTTCTTGGCTACCCTAAAGCCGATCAAATAAGGGGGCAGACTTCCGGTAGTTCAATGTCCAAAGCTGGAGAAGTAAACTGCAGAGCTACTGTGGCACCTTCATTTCTATGTACGGTTACACCAAGTATTAGCTGTTCCGAGTATTCAATTTTAAAATGTAAGTTTCGGGAAAAAATAAAGCTTGATATCTCAATATTTTTTTAGGATAAAATACACTCATTTAATAAAAACGACAAGTTTTTTTAAAATAAACATGTTTCAACATCTCGTGATGCCATCTTCAGTATTATAAGGAATAAGATGTATGTTATATGTTAGAGTGATATGATACTGTGATACAATTTATACATTTATGAATAGATTATTATATTACAATGAAATAATGGTTAGAATTAATGATGAAAGTATTTACAGGGTGAATATAGTGTTAAAACGAAAAACTTGAACGTTGAGATTAAGGGTTAGTTTTTTTAATGTGAAGTGCTTCTTTGATTTTGAGTGCGAATGTAGTATCTTCAGTGTCGATGATTTTAAAGCAAGAGGGTGAACAGTTAGTTTTGCATGAAGGTGATTTTAAAAGGTGTCGAAAGATATGTGAGTTTTTGTCAGTTGCGGTGTGTTCCCTGATTCCGGAGGATAAGTGACGGGAATTTTCGCCAATGTATCGGGAATTGCATCCCGCACAATCGAATTGGTATACCACCATGGATTTAATAGAATCAGGGATAGGATCTTTGAATGAGAAGTAGTTTTGATTTTGAAGGAAGGGAAACTTAGTCGGATGTTAATGTCAGTGCAGAAGCATTTGATGATGTTTGTAAGTCTGCGTTGTGTGTGTCGTGAATAATGTCCGATGTACGGTAGTTTAAAGTAAAGAGTTCTTATGGACTGTTCGTTGTTGTTAGTCGTGGTTGTTATATCGGATGTTTTGGTGTTTGCTTTGCAGTTAGTATTAGTTTTGTCATAGAGATATCGTTTGGCAGTTTTGTTGATGAAGTGTAGTGGCAAAGAGTTGCGTAATAAAATAGATGTGATATTCTTTAGGTCTTGTAGAAAGCCATTGTCGGTGTTGTTAATTTTGTATGCTCTGTCTACAAGTGTGCGTATTAATCCAGTCTTGTATGAAAGTGGTGTGAAACTGAAGTAGTTCGTCAATAGTCCCGTGTAGGTTGGTTTATGATACGTTGACGTTGTATAGGTGTCATGTGCTTTTGTTAATAAAATGTTTAGAAAAGGTAGTTGGTTTTGTTTTTCAGTTTCGAAAAAAAGTTTAATGTTCGTGTATTGTTTGTTGATGTAACTAGTTACAGTAGTTACTAGTTACACCAGAATCAGGGAACACACCACAAATGACAAAAACACACATATCTTTCGACACCTTTTAAAATCACCTTCATGCAAAACTAACTAATCCCCCTCTTGCTTTAAAATCATCGACACTGCAGATTCTACATTCGCACTCAAAATCGAAGAAGCACTTCACATTAACAAAAATAACCCTAATCTGAAAGTTCAAGTTTTTCAATTTATTACTATATTCAGCCTGTAAATACTTTCATCATTAAGTCTAACCACTAATTCATTCTAATATAATAATCTATACATAGGTGTAAAAATTGTATCACAGTATCATATTACTCTTATATATATATTCGTCACATACATAATATTTCTTATAATACTGAAGATGACATCACGAGATGTTGAAACATGTTTATTTTAAAAAAACTTGTCGTTTTTATTAAATGTGCATTATCAATAGTACTTTTACGCAGTAACGATAAAATAGACTACTCGTCAAGTTTCAACGTCTGCTAAATGAGAAGATCGAAATCAAGTGATATTTATAATGTTAGGAATTGTATTTGAAACGTCGAACGCTTTGTTTAAAAGATTGTGTTTTGTTGTTTCGTCTAGTATATTTCACCGACTCTTGGCCTATCTTTGCAACACACTTTTTTTTGTTGTTTGCAATTTTTCGTTTATGGAGAACCGTATGGGTTTGTGTCATTGCTTTCCATCATATCACACAATTTATTGTTATCACAATATTAAATTTTATGTTGACTCTGACTACCGCTAAGGTTATCGAATCGTCAGTCAACATCAATAACAACAGTCCTTCTCAGGACTCTACTAAACTGGACGATCCACATTACAAACATGTAACGATACTCCCGGGTTCAAACCATCTACTCAATAAATATTTTGTCACCTCAGGTCATGTTTGTGATGATCCGCTCTTACAAAACACACAAAAGTTCCCGGACTCCTTGTTTACTGCCTCGACCCAGGACCATAGTGCAAAAGCTGCAAGAATATCCAGTGGTAGTTCTTGGTGTGCTCCTGCTGCAGATGGCAATCATTATCTTCAGCTGAATTTCCCAAGTCTTTATACAGTTAACGCTATCGCAATCTTTGGTGACAGTTCAAGTTCATACTTTATAACTGAATATCACTTGCTTACTAACATTGACGGTGTTAACTGGAACTCTGAAAAATCTAAAAAGGTAACAAAAAACTTTTCTAATTTTATTTTGTAGAATCATACCAGTATTCTATAGCAAATGCTTTAATTTTACTGGCTACTCTACTCAAAAATAGTAAATATAGTAAAGATATAGATAGCAAGTTGCGAAAAACATGGCTTCCTACATCGCCATCTCGCGTTCTACTTAGGTTTCTGACAATAAAGTTGATTGTTTACTTCAGAAAACAATTCTAGAGAGGGTTAACAACTTTAAGGTTTTGTAGCGTAAAAAAAACAAAGATTAATTGAAATAACTAAACGTGCATTCAGGAAAAGTCGTTTACTTTTCAATGCGAACATTGAAAACTACTGCATACGCACCAAAATTTAAGGATTAAGGAAAACTATTACAACCTTTTTCTTTATGATAACTAGTATGAAGTAAGTGGTTTTAACTTGGGAGTATTTCGATGTACATCGTCCAGGTTAGTAGAGTCCTGAGAAGGACTGTTGGCTTTGGTGTTGACTGACGTTATGACAACCTTAGCGGTAGTCATGAATTTGCCCGAATCAACTATAGAATCATGGAAATGGAGAGCGATTCATCTAATTATTAAATAGTTAACGATAAATTTCAAAATCAATGATTAAAAAAATTAAAGTTAACAATGCACACGTAAGTTAACTGAATTCTTAATTTTCTACATATTTTTATGTTTATAGATGTATATCGTTCAGTTTAGTGCATTACTGATGAGGACTGTTGGTGTCAGTGTTGACTGACGTTTTGACATCCTTAGCGGTGGTCATCTTCAATTTACTTTTATTCTTATAAGAATTCTACTATCTCCAAATTTCGTTTTGGTAACTTTACTAATTAATCATTGGCTGAAACAAGATTGTAACTTTAACAATCAGTTTGTGGCTATATGAACAAACAGATTCGTTCCTTGCGATTTATCTTCAAGTTTAAATTGCAGTTTGTGGCCTTGAAAAGATATTGAGAAGATCCATAAGCCATTATCCCGTTTAGAGCGTCTACAAAACCCGACTTTTCTCTAACTTTCTCAACCTTTCTCTACCCAAATACATAAGTCTTTATTTTCTCTTGTTTCAGATTATACAACGAAATTGGAATGGTTACAATGATGTAGCTATAGAGAAATTCTCTCGTGGCATTAAAGCCAAAAGTTTACGAATAGTTCCGGCGAAGTCTATTGGTAAACCGTGTTTACGAATTGAAGTTTGTGGGGGAGGTAAGAAGTGAAAATATGTCTGGTTTGGTTTGCTCTGTAAAAGAGGTATTAATATACTATATATAAACATGTTTGCTCTTAAAATTAACTAAACACGTGGAAATTTCTTATTTGAGGTATTCTATACATCTCCCATGGAAACAACAAATAAAGAAGGCAAATCTTAACATTGCGATCTCAGACTTCAGTGTTGCACTACATGTTTCGTTTTTCCACAATTTCCGAACTTTTTACTTAGCATAATGATGTTCCACTTTTTTGAAATCAATGAAACTCAAACGAATTATTCTATTTTATCACATGATTTTATCAATCTCAAAATGCAATGATACCAAGTTTACCGTTGGTTTTTTTTTCTTTTATCATTCAGACATGCTACCAGACAAACCAACAAATCTTACTGCGAATAAAGTTGCATCAAGATACCTCAAGATATCCTGGAAAGATCCCGAAGTCACTGGTGTGAAACTTGGCACAAATATCTTGAATCCTCTGACCAAAGTTCGATTAATAGTGCTTAGGGATACTGTCGTTATTTTTAATAAAACTTGGGAAGCAACTCTAATTAAACCTTACAAATTAGAGAATCTTATTCCTTACACAATGTATTTAATAAATGTAACCGCTGGCAACTCTGAAGGTTTTGGTGGATCAATTACAGCTAGTTTTACCACTGCTGAAGATGGTGAGTTCATATTTTTTTTTGAGCATTCATATCGGTTTTGTTTGCATTGATGGTTTATTATCGTGCACGAATTTTGAAAACTCAAATCTTTCGCTAATCGACTCTTGCGTCAGTTTTTTTTTCTTTTGTGTTTTATTTAAGTTAGCAATGACAATACACTGGTTAGGATTTCTTTTTTAAATTTCTTTACTGTTTTAGATAAATCTTTAAAAAATGTGTTTTTCATTTTTGTTCAGTTCCCGAAGGTCCACCTTTAAATGTTAACATTTTCGCCATCAGCAGTTCATCTTTATCAGTCACGTGGAAGCCACCTGATATAGCGAAAAGAAATGGAAAGATAGTCAGTTACACTGCTTGTATTACGCAATTGGAGAATGAAACGTGTTCAATGAACTATTCCATCGCGGAACAGCGTTTGGACATAAATAATGTGAAACCAGGGACAAAATATTATGTTCGCGTTTTAGCGTCTACGATAGTGGGATCTGGAATTTACAGCAATAGTACATGGGCATTTTCAAATGGATGTAAGTTGTTTATCGTTAAAGTAAATATTCGATTACGATGATAAATTTATTCTACTTTCAATTTAAGTGGCACCTGAACAGCCCACGACGCATGGAAATACATTGACTTATTTGTTGCAAAATCCAACTTTGGAATATCGGTTTGTAGTTACCTCAGGGTCAATTTTTACTTGCTGTAAGGAACAAAGAACTATTTTTTGAGTTTTTATTGAGCTCTTTGCTCAAGTACATTTACGACAATAGTTTTAATGAGAGGATTGGGGAGGTGTAAACAACTGCTCAGTTTTTTTTAGGCTGTGCTGAGATGTACAACATATATTTGAACAATTGACAAAAGCAGAGGGTGGGTGTGTGTTTTTAAAAATGTTTTGCCTTCAATTTGCAGATATTTTTTCGTAGTCGTGATGGAATATGGCGAAGAAGAAAATCTATTGCCTTCTAACTTCAAAAACACAGACTTAGTGACTTATTCTGAGGCCATTGCCTCCGCGCAACCAACGCCGTATATTGCCGCGGTAATGTCTCGCGGAAATTTTAAGTCTGAGTTCACACTTGGGGATAGCGGAAACACAAGTCTTGCAGGGACAAGAAGACGGCGTTCTAATGGTAAAATTTATTATAATGGCCCGCTGAAGCCCGGCACTAACTACAGAATATTTCAACGCGTTTTCTTAAACGATGAGGTGCGATCTTTTCAATACTTTTTACCTGCATTGATAACAACATTTTTTATTCACATATGAATATTCTCTTTGCTTCAGGCGGATTATTATTCCACTGACTGGAGTCCAGTGGTAGCAACTGCTCAAAAGCGGAAATCAACAGGTTTGTATTTGCTTTCAATAGCTTATGTGAAATTTATGGATGTCTGAAGTGTAATGCTTCAAGATCGTTGCAAAGTTCGCTTTTACCAAGTGTCTGAAAATTCTTCATAATGGATAGTGATCTTGTTTGATGATGCAGCAAAAATTCAACAAATAACTGACGCAAGGATTTTGTACATCTGTATTCCAATTGCATTGCGTTCAAAAATAAACTACCCTGCATAAGATATGGATGGTTAAGCCAATTACTACTTCAATTCATAATTTTTTGAAAGTTTCCAGGTCATTTGTATGAAATTTCATGCTTTTGGGAGAAGGAAAAAGAATTTATGACAGACATATGTAATGTGTTAGAAATTGCATGTTCTGTTTATAATCAATAGCATGTACACGCAATGTACAAAAAACTGCAGGGGGAGTAAAAAGTGCTAACCCTCAACCCCACCCATTGGAAAAGGATCGTCTAAGACTTTTAAATTGTCAAATTTGAGACATGTGTAGAAATGGAAAACATTGAAATTAGAAATTAACAAACTAAGATGTCAAGGATATATAACAATAACTTTGACGAAGCAACTAAAACAAATAATGTTTCGCGCATATTTTGGTATAGAACATCATGTCATGTTTTTGACTGGCTTCGTTGGTCATTCATTTAATCCATTTTGCAGCATTTAAAAAGCTCGACATCAATTGTTGCTTTCACTTATTTTTTATCGAACGATTTACTTCTGCTTGTAAGTTCTCCATAATGTTTAAAAGTGGCAAATGGTTTGGACTTTGGCCGTTGCATCACATGTACCTAGTTAGTTGTAAGATATATTAATACAACTCCACTTGCGCGTTTGTGATCATTGCGATGTTGGAACACACGCGAATGAATATAATCTACTGCAATATCAAGTTATCTATTCATACCTTTAGGTAGCCATGTTTTCTTTATAGTTGGGATCAGAGCCCTGTATTTGTAAGAGTTTGGGACATGTATTGCTCTCTGCATTTTGCATTATGATAAAGATGATTGGGTAGAATTGGTCACATGGGTATCTTGCCGCCATTTTTGTTCCAAAAGCGCAAATTATAACCATATTTTACTTAAGAGATAAATTATGAAAAATGTTTACAATGATTTTATGATGCGTTACAATAGTGCCAATCAAAGCGATGAAGAATAGAAACATTTTTGTTCACCCCTTGTACACTTAATGTTTCTTTTTGCGTTTTGTTTTTTATCATTCATTTTCATCTTATAGGCGGCGGAAATCCTGGAGCTATTGCAGGTGCAGTTGTGGCTGCTATTTTGGTCATTATTCTCATCGTATTCGTCATTCTGTTTATTAGAAGGTATGATTATTACTTTGGGATTTTTTAACGTGCCAGTTTTCCAACATTAAGTAACTACGTACCAGTTTTCCATCATTAAATAATTACGTACCAGTTTTCCATCATTAAATAATTACGTACCAGTTTTTCATCATTAAATAATTACGTACCAGTTTTCCATCATTAAATAATTACGTACCAGTTTTCCATCATTAAATAATTACGTACCAGTTTTCCATCATTAAATAATTACGTACCAGTTTTCCAACATTAAATAATTACGTACCAGTTTTCCAACATTAAATAACTACGTACCAGTTTTCCAACATTAAATAATTACGTACCAGTTTTCCAACATTAAATAACTACGTACCAGTTTTCCAACATTAAATAACTACGTACCAGTTTTCCAACATTAAATAACTACTTACCAGTTTTCCATCATTAAATAACTACGTACCTTTTTTCCAACATTAAATAACTACGTACCAGTTTTCCGTCTTCCAGAATTAAAATTCAGCTTCCGTTTGGTATCAACACCTTTTAAATTTCCCCCTCTTAGACGGCGTAATGGAAGGAAACGTTCTGGGTCCGTTAAAAAATCAAATGTAGAAAAGGTCAGAAATCACGGACCATCTGTAATGAATCAAGTATTTGTTGGAAGCCATAACATTGGAAATATCAACACCCCTGATAACATCAATAGCCCAATGAACAGTCAGGATGAATCAGTTCTTGTCCTGAATGATGAGAAAGTTTACGAGAACAATGCTGGTAATCTTTATAAAATCGATTGGCAACATCAGTTTGTGTGTTGTGTATTTTAACACGTTTTTGTGGCTGTTCGTGATGACAAGTTTTTTGTCTGCAATAGCTTAGAGCTTTACTCCGTGTTACTTAGTTTCGTGTGTTTTATTTAATTTCATGTGTCAATTTTCACACGTGTTACTTGGTTTTGTGTGTGTTACTTAGTTTCACGGTGTGTTAATATTTTCATGTATTTTACTTATAGTTTTATGTGCGTTGCTTAGTTTCATGTGTGTTTTTAGTTCCATGTGTGTGATTTAGATATTTTCATGTGTGTTTCTTTGTTTCCTTTGTGTTAACTTAGTTTCACATTCTTAACGTCTTATTCAAGCAAAATTATTTACATTTGTTACTGAAATAGAGTAAACCCTCTTCATTGCGCTTGTAAACTTTTTAAATGACGTTCTTTGTTTAAAGATAATAACATACTTATTTTCTCTCCTGTTGATGTTTTCCTTTGTGTACTCTTTAAGCTATTACCGCGAAGGATCGTCAACCAATTCCCATAGCAATGTTCGAGAGACACGTGAGGAAACTGAAGCATAACAACATGAAGGAACTAAAGTTAGAGTTCGAGGTAATGTTGCACCAGCTATCATTGAGTTAAGCGCATGCGCATTTAATTGAAAGGTTTTACTTAGGTTTTCGTTGTAAGAGACGCGAGCTTATCATTGAAAGCTCGTAGTAATTGTACAAACGATCTACTTACGTATATAAAAAGTACGTAAAACTGCAAGTTCTTATCACATAATATAAGAAATTTTTCCGTTGTCACAGTTAATCGTCTGTCCAATCAAACTACCCAAACTTTCACACGTTTTATTTGACACTGTCACACATTTGGTGTAACACTTAAATGATTTTGATTTTTTACAGGATTTACCAAATGGTCAAATGTCCAATTGGGATGTCGCGAAGAAACCTCACAATACTTCAAAAAACCGATATGGAAACGCTGTCACATGTAAGATTATTAGCCAAGAAACTTTGAGTATTCCGAAACTTGTGTGGAAGCACAGTCATGTGTGAGATTATGGACGAAAAAACTATACCATAATGACAAAAACTGATTGAAATGCAGTCAGATGTAAGATTATTGACTAATAAATCTTACTACTAATATAAACGGAGCGATATTGATTATTAGTCTAAGAACCATGCATTACTAAAGAAGGCCGTTTCATTTAGACAACCATTCTCGTGTGATACTCTCCGGAGATGAAAAGGCTGACTATATTAATGCTTCATTTGTCGACGTAAGTGTTCTACAAAGCTTTAGTTCATTAATTTAACCATATACAGGGTGTCCCCCGAAAAACGGAACCCACACAAACTAATTTTATATGTGCCGAAGTTACTATACACAATACTATCACAATATCATTCACATGCTGTTGGATGAACTTGACAGTTCTGCACCTCTGGGATTTCATAGAGTTTGTACACAGTATTACTGAAGCAAGGTAAAGTACGTACTGTCATACACGTACTTTCATCTTCAATTTATAACGCTAAATCTTTGTAAAATCAAAGCGACATTAACAATGTTAAAACGGCCACAAAAACGTAATCCTACTTTCTGTGATTTACATTGAACATTGACAGACTAGCGTGTAAACAAATCAACCAGGCGGAACAAACAGCTGTTGCAGACTAAATTATTTTGTGCAGATTTCATTTTAATAGATACATAATTATTTGTGTGGGCTCCGTTGTTTTGGCACATCCTGTATGTTGATTGTCGTTCGAATAATGTCAGTGAATGGTTGCTTACTGATATAGGGGCTGATTACATGAGCCCGCGTGTAGACGGGATTCAGTCAAGCGTTAAATGATTTTGGCAAATGGAAAAGATTCAATACTCTTCATCAGATAAATCTTCTCTGGCAATTTCACAATATTCTGGTTTAATAACTACACAAAACATTTAAAATTACAACAACCAATTTGGTTTAATTTGAGAACTACAACAGGAATGACTTGTGGTGCTTAAACAAATAGTTGTAATTTTTACGCTTGAAGTTTCTACTCCTTTCAATATCTCGAAATCATTTCACGCCTCACTGAAACTCGGCTAGCCGGGATCATGTAAACAGCCCTATAGACTCCATGCAATTGTTGTTTAACGTTTCTACGTTTAAATTTCAGGGCAAAACTGACAATTATTACATCGCGACCCAAGGTATGTGAAAAGGTACTATCGTACGTGCCTTTTCTAGTTCGAAAGGAGGTTTTGTATACGAAATGATTGCTTATTCGATAATTTCAAGGTGTACCACATTAGTGTCAAAAGATATGCAGTTACTTATCATTGCGTTGTTGTTAGACATTATTTATAAGAAAACCATGTTACTGAGCTTACTTAGTTATCAAATGTACACAAAAGCCAAGGGAGGTTGAGTAAAACTTGCATTGTAATACTATGTTTGCCAAAATGCTTTAGCCAGTGTTTCACATAATGTCAAGTATTGTGTAAATTAAATGTTTTTGTGTTTTTGGAATACTATGTGGTGATTTTTATTATTTCAAACCAACATTCGGGATTGTCTGTAATACCACAGAATGTGGAATCTACAGAAGGGTCACTCGTATCGGAGCCTTTGATGTTTTTGTCCTCGCGCATGTTGTGCCGCGCATATAGGCAGCCATTATTCCAGCAAGATATTTAGGGCTTTTCACTTGTTCCCAACCACTAAAATGACCGAACGTCAATTCTTCTATTGAATTATTTTCAATTTCATTGTGAAGAAATGACGTCTTGTAATTGCAGCGGTTGGAAAAAAGTGAAAAACCGTAAGTATCTTGCTGGAATGATGGCGGCCGTAAGGATGCGGTGCACACCTGAGTGGCTCTTCTGTATAATTTTTATTCTGAGCTAATATTACCAGTACATGCGACTTGTAAGGTCGTATTAATTTTAATACAACCTTTAAATTTGAATATTAAATTCTAATTAGGTAAATACGTACATTAATAATTCGTTAAATGAGAACGAAAGAACTTGAGGCGACCATGCATCATTATACTTTTTTCGATTTTTATCAAACTAAATTGACTTACATTTTATCGTCCATATGCTATAACGAAATTCCTTCTCTTTGTTCTCCTTCTTTCAGGACCCAAACCCAAAACAGTCAACGACTTTTGGAGGATGATATTCGAACACAAGTGTCCAACTATTGTGATGTTGACGACATTAAAAGAAATGGGAAAGGTTTGAACAGTGTGGCCATACATATGCTTTTTTTCAGTAGGTTTGGTCTGACGAGTTTAGACTCTTCCACCTGCTTTATTTAGTTTAAAAGTTTAGAACAGGGGTGTTGTTTAAACTCATCCGTCCGAATCTGGTTAAAACTTGCATACATGGTTACACTTGGTGGGACCATTGTGTCGACATAAATTATTTAATTTACATTCCATAAAAGCGCCAACAGTTAGAGAATCAAACTGGCAAAAAATAACTACCGTTTTAGAGAACTTTCATTTAATAGAATAAATATTTTCGTGTCATTTTGAATCGTGATAACGAATTAAATGATTCAAATTGTACATACATCGTGCTTTTCCTCTCAGGTGAAATGTGAAAAGTATTGGCCAGATGAATCCAAGATATACGGTACGATCCAGGTGACCATCACCAAGACAAAAGCTTTTGCTGATTACGTCTTGAGGTCTGCAGTAGTGAGTAAGGTAAGTCAGTCTTAGAGCAAACCTCCATGAGGCTGCATGTGTAAGAGGGAATTTTGGTCGGTCGTTTTTCTTATTATTGATTTACCTGTGTATGCACTAATTAATCAGAAATTTACAAAGACGTCTTTCTTGATACTACTGAAAGACTGCGAGATAAATCGTTATGAAAGAATTTTCCTCTATTTTTAACGGTTACCTTCATTTTGCCGTTGTCCACGTTATCTTTTACCTTGTTCTGCAACAGAAGTATGGTGTGTCGACCTCATTGCTGACAGACCCATATGTAATAAGCTTGGAGTGAACCCTTATGAATGTATCAATCACAATCTGTGCCGTACTTTGTCAAATAATCTATTCTTTGTTTTCACTTTGAAATTATTGTTAAAGGAATAATGTCGTCGGTCGTTCCACGCGACGAAGGGACAAATCGGACGCTGATGTTTTTTTTTATCTTTTACCTTTAAGTTTTAGTGTTTGTTGTTATTGTCATAGGATGGTGAGCATCACAAAGTTCAGCAGTTTCATTACATTTCATGGCCGGACTATGGCGTGCCTCGTCATCCAACACAACTATTGACATTCAGGAAGCATTTCAAATCTTATCACAAGACAAAAGCCGGTTTTGCCGTCATCCATTGTAGGTTAGTGATAACATGTGCCAAAACTAGACGTTAATTGAGAGGGGGGGTGAATATTCATATATTCGGTTCTGTCCTGCTGATTTCTTTTGAAAATAAAATCGCTAACAAAAACCAGTTGGGCAGTGCTAAATATGAATATTCACCCCCAAATTAACGTTCTAGTTTCGGTCCTGCATGTGTAGTAAATCTTAAAATAATCCTTCATTGTAGGTTAGTGATGACATGTGTAGTAAATCTTAACATAATCATCCATCGTACATTAGTGATAACATGTGTAGTTATTCTTAATATAATCATGCATTGTTGGTTAGTGATAAGATGTGTAGTTTAAAGTACTAGCCTTTCTCCTCGCTGCAATAGTTTTGACTATGTTGCCAACAAGAATGAATGCAAGACGATTTTGTACCTGGGGATGCTCATGTTTGAATTGAATGTTGTTGCTGTTTACGGTTGTCTATTTGTCTTTGCCTTTTTTTGTCAGGAATTTTATATGCTTGGCAACCAGTGTAGGATTTAGTTGAGGGAGGACGGTTTGAAATGGTTCAAACCTCTTCTCTCTCTGGACTATTTATAGTATATTGAAATGCATGCATTAAAAGCTTGCACTAATGACATGCATGAACATAGTTTTATTGTTTACGTATTTGCTGACGTGTGAAGTCATAGTAAGCTACTATTGATAGTACACGAGATCTATTTGTCTGGGGAGTTCAGCGTCGCAGCAGTTCGGTGGTAGTTCAGTGTCGTAGCAGTTCAGTGGAAGTTTAGTGTCGTAGCAGAAGTGGAAGTTCAGTGTCGTAACAGAAGTGGAAGCTCAGTGTCGTAGCAGTTCAGTGTAATTTCAGTGTCGTAGCAGTTCAGTGGAAGTTCAGTGAAAGTTCAGTGTTGTAGCAGAAGTTGAAATTGCCAAAATTTCCCACTTGGTGTGCTTCTCCCAGTTTTATAAACACTTGATTTTGTGTGGGACATGAGCTCGTTTTAGTGGATGGATAATATTATTTTAGGTCATTGATACGTTACAGGTTGTATGTCTTTAATACTAGTAAATTTTTCCGTTTGCTTTCTTCCTATAGCGCTGGTGTTGGTCGTACTGGAGTATTTATTGCCATAGATAAAATCCTCGATGATCTTGATGATGATTATGAAACAAATATTGATGTATTTGGCTTTGTGAAAGAGATGAGATCGCGGCGAATAAACATGGTGCAAACAGCGGTATGTCAATGAATGTATAATAGGGACATCTCTACACATACAGTACTTTAGTGGGTATCATTGTGTGTGTGTGGGGCGAGAGTGCTTATGTATAAAGGTGCTGCAGACAGCATGTCCTAATTGTCCATAACAGTGACATCTCTACTTTGGATGTATTCAAGGGGTGTTTTTCCATGGGAGAGCAGTAGCAAAACCAGAGGAGAGCATGTTTATTTATCCTATTTTGCCAAATTAAGTTCCCCTAAAATTTATTATGTTTAGACATAATAATTTGCATGAATGAATATTATCTTCCCCTCACACTCACAATTATCGAGGTGACGCAATGATTTTGAACGTGATCCTAGCTCTTTATGTCTATCTGCTGAGTCAAGGTGAGGCAAGGACGCCATCTTAAAAGGTGGCAAAAAGCAAAACTCAAAATGAAAGATAAGTTAAAGAAGGTTTAAAAGCCAATCCTATCAAAAAATTTAAAAATTGAATCCAGACCAGCAACTTTCCAACTGTATATCAACTCTCGAAATGCAGATTTTAATCGTGAATAGCGTAAGTTTTCCAACTTTCAAGATGGCGGCTTGCCTTTCTCGTAAATATAGAATTTTTGCGGAGTCACATATCTAGTAGATTTGGTTCTATGTCATTGAGCTGTAGACGCCATTAGAGAAAGGGTGCTTTATTGTGATTGAAGAGTTAAAAGATATGCGCTTTAGTTTCCATGTCAATCTTGTAGGTATAATTTGTTTCACATAGAATCAACTACCTCAAATTTACTGGTGGTGTGATCACTGTCCTTATTTGCAAATCTTTTTGACACAAAGATAGTGAAGTTCTTAAGATGGCATCTGTATTTTGAGAAACATCAATTTTTCGCAAGTTACTTTGTTTGTTTTTAACTATTGCTAGTACCTCATAGTTTAGCATTTTGAGTAGAAAGACATATGTTCTAACCAATCTAGGATCAGTACATGTTTATTTATGACGCTATTATGGAGCATATCCAATGTGGAGTGAATGAAATTGAGGCTATGCAAATCAAGGCCGAGATCGTACATCTATCAAAACAGCTTGGGAATGGAAGAACTGGATTTGAAGAAATATTTGAAGTAAATAAAATGGCGATGCATAGTTTAAGATTGTACAATAGATTGTTACCTTGCATTATTTTACACTGCTGTATTTTGTTCGGACTTCTTGTTTCAAAATCACATTCCCTCTAATAAGGACGTTGGAGTGGAGTTTATAAGTTTCTCAAGGAGTCAAGTTCAACTTAAATCACTCATGATGAAGACCCTTGACTTAAGTATGAATTAAGGACTTAAATTTTAGCATTAGATCACTCCTTATGAAGACACTACACCGGAGTATATAAAGACTCGAGTTTCAACATCAGATCACTCGTAATGAAGACACTAGACTGTAGTATGTAATATAAGAACTCAAGTTTGATCTTCAGATCACTCCTGATGAAGACTGTAGACTGGAGTACATAAAACTCACGCTTCAACATCAGATCATTCCTAATGAAAACACCAGACTGGAGTATATAAGTACTCTGCTTTTGGCGCTGGGTTATTTTTTTGAGGAAGACGCTAGACTTTTGTATTTTGAGGAGTTATGCTTCATCATTTCAAAGTTGATGATTTTCTTAACAGCGTTTACAATCAGTTACAACAGAACTACCTGAAGAAGTTTGTGAAGCTGCACTTTTGAATGACAACAAGAAAAAAAATCGCAATCCTAAAATATATCCAAGTATGTTAATATTTACATAAAACGTCTGACGGAGACAAAGTTAAACTTTCACTTGTACTCCGTATTGTATCTTCGTTGTTTTGTATCTTGTCGCTTAAAATGTATACGTCCACTTAAGGAACAGCGGTGGATTCATAAAATTGATGAAGAGGTGGCTTCTTTTAATAATATCCTTCCCCCCTTTTCCCCTAATTATCGATCTTTGATTGTCACTGTACCGTCAGCCAGTCCGTGATAGTTTGTTTTTTTTAGGTGAATCTAATCGTCCACACCTTAGCCACCTGGATCAAATCGAGAATTCCGACTACATTAACGCGTGTTTTGTTGACGTAAGTAGCTTTACGGAACATCTGAGTGAATATTTTTACAGCATTTATTATTGTTCCTGGGATATTTTAAAGCCAGTAAGGGAAACTGCACGACCACACTGCAGAAAACTATATTCGTATGGTGTTTAACCTATAAAAACTGATATCTTTATGAACATGTCGTGCGTTGATTTAGGGTTACCTTGGCAAGAATTATTTTATTGCCACCCAGACACCTTTAAAAGAAACCATTAACGACTTTTGGAGGATGGTTTGTCAATATAAGTCTTGCACCATCGTTATGCTGAATCAACTCAACGAAAACAACCAGGTCTGTGATGAATCGAAAGAAAAGGAATTTTGCATTGATTATATTGTGATTCATTAGGGTTGTAGCTTTCTCGATATACTGTCTCTAAATTTAATTTTTTTTGGATGACTTGATTTGCTTTGGTATTTATCAGCAATATCCAATGTTTTGGCCTACGCAACGAGCCAGAGCTCAATCATTTGGTAAAAGTACCGTCTTGTTGGATTCAGTTGTAACAAAAGATGACATTACCGTGAGAAAGTTTATTGTTTCGCCTACGATGGTGAGTTTTTGAGTCAGCATTAAGTTGACAAGATTTTATTTTGGGTTGATTCTTTTAGTTAAAATGGTGTTACATGTATGCATAAGACATAAGTAGCTACATGATGATTGACTGTTTAAGTTTGTATTTCTGATAGAAAACAATATGGACTAGAGTATCTAAAGACCACACTAGTTTAAAAATAACATCACTCGTCGAGAAGACGCCAGACTGGATTATTTAATGACACAGGTTTCAACATAAAATCACTACTAACAAAGGCACTAGAATGGAGTATATAAGAACTGAAGTTTTAACATCAGATCATTCTTGATTAAGACACTTGACTGGAGTGTAATAACTTTTAACATTTCCGATATTTTAAGACTAAATTATTTATTACATTTCCTATTTTTTGTTTCTTAGGACATTAAAAATGGTCGTATGGTCCACATGATTCACTACGTATCGTGGCCGGATCATGACGTTCCTAAAGATGTTCACAGTATGGTGGAAATTTTATCTGAAGTTGAAAATTCACAAAGAGCTGCTGATGTAAAGGGACCTGTCATTGTTGTGTGCAGGTAAACACGTGTCACTGGAATATTAGCAATTGATTAGCCCCGTTTCTTTGCTCTGTTTTGTTAAAATTCAGCGGTTTAAGTTCTGTGTGAAGATCTCTACAAGAAATTTGCTACAAACTCAAAAGTACCTATAATTTTATTTTTTCGCATCCAGTGATGGAGCAGGTCGATCTGGAACCTATATTGCTATCTCAAATCTTGTCGACCGAGTCAAAATTGTCCAAGCGATGGATGCCTTCCAATGTATCAAGCTGATCCGGAATAGACGCCCGCAGTTCGTCGAAACGGCGGTAAGCTTGTCTTTCTAATTCTCCTGTAGCCCCAATTGCACCAGCATCGAGTGCTATTCTCATTTATGAACTATGCAGCCTCTACTAAATAGACCATAAAAAATTTGTTGTTTTGACTTTATATATATCAACACTTTGACACATTTACGATCATCATATGTTGTATGGATATTGCCGGATTTCAACTTTAAAGTTCGTGCTTGTATGCGAACTTTGCTCTCAGTATCGTAGCCTAACTGCATGTTTGGTCCTGCTATGTAGGTCGTCTATGTAAATCATCAGCATTATTTCTTTCTTTAGAAATCTGTTGTGTAATAGTTAGTCAACATTATTTGCATATCAATACAAATTTGCCTGATGGCTACGCTAATGGCTGCTCGGCTGTTTTCGCTTCTGATTTTAGTTTGCCTTTTGAGAGTGGAAGCTTTTAGTTTGATAATAAATTTATGCCTGGATGGATAGGTGCTGATCCCCCCTGATATTTATTTTACTGAAGGTCTTTATATATGAGTTTTAATAGTTTTATCACTGCCGGCGTCACTGTCTGATAACCGTTAACGTGGACAATAGTTTCTAAACAGAATGTTTCTGGAAACTTACACATTGAATTTTGTTTAGCTCTACCAACCTTGGTGATGTACTTAGTTTTTTGATTATTTCTATAACATTTTTATTATTTAGGATCAATTCAAACTCTGCTACCGTGCAGTGAACTGCGTATTGGAGTTGTTCGACGACTACTCAAATTTCTCGAAAATAGGTGGAAGTTGAATTTTTATACTGTACAAATTTCTGGAAAATTTTTTAGATGGTTGCTGGAATGTTACATGTTCTGCAATTTTGTCTTCAATGAAAAAATAGAAATCAACATAAAAAACATTTAAATATTTACTTTAGTTTTAACGAGGAGAGTCCAAGTCAAGTATCGTTATATGTTTGTAGATGTAGATCGTCCAGGTTGGTAAAATCCTGAAAAAGACTGTTAGTGTTGATGTTGACTGACGTTTCGACAACGTTGACTCTAAAGATGACTACCGCTAAGGATGTCGAAACCTAAGTTAAAATCAACAACAGTCCTTTTCAGGACTCTACTAACCTGGACAATCTACATGTGTAAACATCTAGATTGTCCAGGTTGTTAGGAAACCTGATGAGAGTGAATAATTCTGATTAGGATTTAAAAACAATTTGGAATATAACATAAAATTATTAAGTTTAGCAGTGACGTAGCAAGTTCGGTCGTGTTATATAAATTTTTTTGTGTTCACTTAATGTAAAAACAATAGATTTCTAAAGAAATGAATAATGATAATGATCTAAAATATACATAGCACGACCAAATTTGAGGGCTGACTACGAATTTTGTCAATATTTTAAATAGTACAACATCAGTAATATTTTTCAATTGAATATATTAAATTGAGTACTAAGAACAAAAGTAATAAACAAAAAGCAAATCGAAATTAATGGCGAGTTCGAAACAAACAATCCATGTCGGCCGTTGCCTCAAATTTCCGCCTCTGAACGATAGTGTAAAAATTAAAACACTTCAAAGGACATTTCAGAACAAAAATCCAAATTTTGAAATAAAAGAGAGATTTGATTACTACATGTCAGTATTTTCCATCTAAAGATGATATGGGATGACTTAAGATGGAAATACATGCTGTAACATATTCACACAGATTTCCTTTTATCTCACAAGAAACTTTTCTCTTTTCCAAGACTTCAATATACAAGTACTCCAGTTTACATCACAGTTTGGGTAATCCAGAATTATGGCAACCATATTTAAGCGAATCATGGTCGGGTAGAGCGGACCTTCAAACACTCGAAGATGTAATCGAGCAGTGTTCTAGCTTTGCTTCTTTTTCTTGATTTGAATATTTGTTCTAAAATGTCGTATAAAATGTTTGACTACGAAAATTACCCGTCAAAAACCAATCCATCCATGCTGACTGTATTCTTCTACCCGTTGCTCTGTTTTATAGTTAAACATTTATTTTTGGAAGTCGTAAAGAAAACACAAATTTCTTTAAAAAACGATATTTCATTTCTCCCTTAATGGTTAGTTTTTAGATTTTATTTATTGGGATTCACATTGCTCCAGATATAGACACTTAGAATTTTTGAGAAACACACTAGCTGTAATAAGTTTTCTGTTTATCTTTTGGAAATATCCAATATTTGACCAATGCAAACAACCAAATGCAACAGATTTGGTAAACAGTGTTATTGGATTCAGTCGTGACAAAAAATGACATTGTTATCATGAATTCATTGTTTTGCTGTCTATTTTATGTAGACTTAAAATGTTGATGTAGAAAGCATTAAGTGGACAGGCTGACATGTATAGTAGATTTTTGTTTGTATTACTTCGTATTTTGTTTGTATTCTATCGAGTATTCACTCTATATGGATTATTTAAGGACTCAAGATTCTATATCATGACGGATTATTAAAACCTGATAATAAAATGTACAACGAGTGAAATAGTAATAAATGTTAATAATTAATAATACATATATGTTTATAATTTTTAAAGGACATCAATTAAAGTTGGGTGATACGCGTAATCAACTACGCGTCACAGAAAATTATGGCGCCCACCCGAAAAATAATCACGGTTTGGCAGAAATTTTACCTGAAGTGGAAGGTTTAAAAAGAACTGCTGAAGTCAAAGGAGCTGTCATTGTTGTGTGCAGGTCATGTATGTATATGGAGTGCGCTTTCATTTAACGTCTCACATAATCGCACGAATATTGGAGCTCTCCTTTCTTCAAGTACGTGGGAGGGGATGGTGGGAACTGTGCAACAAACTTTAATCCTTATAATTTGAAAGTCAATTTTAATTGAAACTGGCGTATTCTTAATTCGATCTATGTTATTATGATGGAAATTATTTTTTATTTCAGTGGTGTTTCTATTTGATATCTCTAATCTAGCAGATCGCGTTAATCTGTCCAAGTGGTAGATGTATTTCAGTGCATCTAATTGCTGCGTTGCTCTCTGGATCAGAGGTATGTAATCTCGTTTATAGCAAAAGTATAAGCGTAAAATTTTCTGCATGCAAGCAAGAATATGACTTTTTACAATCACGCGATTTTCCAAAATGTTGTACATAAAGATTGAAATTGTTAGTCTACGTATGTAAACTACATACAATCTTTCATCAATGAGATCTCCAATTCAGCAACCCGTTTTTCCAACTTTATCAATTCTTTCAGATGCAACAAGTCACATTGAAACATCGCAAGCGTAACTTTCGGTGAAACAGCGCACTTTGATTGGTTCAGAAACATTTTTCCCTGTTCTTTACTTTGTCATAATGGACCAGTAGTCCATTACATGTATGTTTTCAAATAAACGTAAACAAAATTGTGAAGCAAATAGCCAAACGCAAAAAAAAAACAAAACAAAAACCATATAAGAATGTGAGTTGAAGAAAGAACGCTTGTAAAGTGAGTTTTATTATCTGGACGACACAATTTCAAACGATTTATTTTTTAAGATAGTAGAGAGAGTCGTGCTTGGCGTAAATCAAATTTGGGTGATAAAAATAATGCCCAACATATTGCTTTAAGTTTAGCCAAAAGTATAGTAGTTTCAAAAATGGTATTTATTGTAACGTTTTGTCTTTACTTAAGACATCTTTAGACAAAAATGAATATTATTGCATTCTTAATAGGATTTGCTACTTATATGTAAATAATCATATTTACATAAAGTGCTAGAATGCAAAAGAAAACAGTGTCAAATACATTACATAAATTACGAAGTTAGGAAGCACAATAAATTGCAGATAAAAGGAATAGCGTGGAATAGACCTCTCTAGGACGTTAGGTGAATGCTTGTGATTAGGATGCTCTCATGAATGGAGAGTTTGTATGGATCGTGAGAAGAGAAAATTATTTTAAAGTCGTCAATATGGTGGTGTTTCCACATGTGTTTATGTGAGCAAAATTGCTGGATTACGTAGGGCAGGATATTGGTTACCTGTGAGGAGAGATATTCCCAAATGCTTTAAAAATCTTGTGTCTAAATGACGTTTGCTTTGACACACATACGATGCGTTGCAGCTGCCACACTTGAATAAATACACTAATGGAAAATTCACCCCTTCCGTTTACCGCAAACCTATACCCTCACTAACCTCTTCACTAACTTCCACAGCTTCATTACACTTAGTTAAAGATGTTCACTAGCCTCCTGTGTATTTAATCAAATCTCTCTCGAAAATTTTTCCACATAGAACTCTCATTTACAAAAAAAAAATTAATCGTCAAAAGCGGCTCCTTCCCGCATTTATGACCAAATGACACGTCGCTTTTTCATCAACACATCAATTCTAATAGAATACACTCCCCGAACAGCCGAACATGTTTAATTCGTCATACATTTATTATAGTGTAAGCCTGTAAAAGAAAAAGCTCAATTCAAGAGGGTGTCTTGGTTATTTTGGCGTTTATTAATTTTATTCAGTAACGATGACGTTGGAAGATTTTGGTTGTTTGTTAAGGGGTGTAAGGGTTAGGGTTAAGGTGTTCATGTATTGATCTATGCTAGTAAAGCTTTATTAATATAATAGTAAATTTTACTGTACAGTTTTTACTGTATTGTTGTATTCAGGGCCTAAAATTTTGCTAATGACTGTCAGAAAAATTGAATTTACTGTTGGTAAAGTTGATAATCAAAAACTTAAAATACGTTATGGGAGCAATATAATTTTTCGTCATCGAGCACTTGAAGTCATTAACCTGTTTTGCCGTGTTTGCCCACATTAGATGCATTATTTGTGCTTCGTTGCTTCGTATAAACAGAGGTAATTCTTTAAAATATCAAAAACTTTATCTTGTATAACATTACTTCGTCAAACAATCCACGGGATCAAAATTTCCTAACACATTTAAAGTATTATTGTTGATTCGTAAAGGGCAGGATTTGACGCAAAACAAATTCTATAAAATGTTGAATAGCTGGGGCAGATGGCGTAAGTGTTTGAATATACTCAATATGGCACTGTACATTTGAGGAAGCCGACAGCCTTGGCCAGCATTTGCAAGTAAAACTTTGCGAAAGCCACAACTCTTTTGTTCGTCTGACTTGAACGTATCTTAATCTTTCTCTGTTTGTTTAAGGTGTATTTCTGCAGTCGCCTTATTGTGTCAGTTTTTCAATTAATAAAAGAACAAAGGTAAGATGTGATGTAGTTCATACTAAAACAGAAGTTTCTTTAACTTCGATGCTATGTTAACATTTAATACTGCAAATTATTTCTTCGACTGAGTTTGGCAAATAAGTGTTAATACAAACACCGCACAACATCCGCCAGCAACGATTTCATTCTTATAGTAAATGGAGAGACTTTTTCATTTACTACAATACCTCCATGCTTGATGTAGGATTCGGGACAGGTTATCACATTCATATTTTCATTCATATATTATCATATTTTTCGCCCAAATCTCTCAACTACATCAAAAACAAACCCTATTCCAGTGTTCTGTAAATAATTTTGTCCTTCAGCAGCACCTGCGAAAGATTTAAAATAAATCCGCTTGAGATTTTCAATTCTTATGGAGTATTCGTTGTCATCAAGTACTCCACCATTAACTGCAAACAAAGGAGTAACGCCAAGCTTTAAAAAATGTAAAAAGTTGCAAAATATTTCCACGATTTTCTGTGATATTTCTGTAAATTTTTATAAAAGAATTTAAGCAATCTCAAGATAACGTTGAAACCCAAAACTTCTTAGCTGCCCTTAATATCGATGTTCATTTATTTCATGAGCTCTTCCTCATCTAACAACCTTTTCAACATTATTTTTTGGTCATTATCTTTCAAAATTTTTAATTTATGTAGTTCATTTTTTGTAAGTTTTTGAATTTGTAAACTGCGCAATTTAGCTGTTTTATAGCTGCTAATGTGTTTAATTCGATGAATTAAAAATTTGAATGAAAATCCAATACGGGTATAGCTATAGAGACAATATGGGTATAGCTGTACAGCTATAGATGCTGCGTTACAAGAAATTTTAAAGTACTTTATGATTTCATGGGTTTTTTACATGTATCATGACATAACGGGAAATTGAAATAAAATAGCTAATGGGAAGCTCTGCATGCACAAATGTTATTTTCATACTCAGATAAGGAATTTTAACATCATCCTCGGTTTTTAATCTATTGTATCTAAGATAAATGATCTGTATTGACTTTAATTTGATTTCGCTTTCTTCGTTTCCTTAGCGCTATCCACTAAAAAGCATTTTTTTCATCGTTCAATAAATCTCTTAAAACACAAGAAGTTGAAATTTTGACTGAACCGAGTAAGAAGAATAGAGCATAAATTGAAAGAAAACCAAGTTTCATTATTTTAAAAAAATTAAAACCACTCATATATATAACAGCTACAGGGGCTACCATTGAGAGAGCCAACATACAGCCATATGAGACTAACTCAATCAATTTCTGAACAGTTTTTCTCGCTACACAATTTTTCTGAAATGAATTTTTTAGATAATGCTCATATATTGCTCAAAAATGCGTTTTTATCGTGATCTGTTTGCGTCACAGATGTAATTGTGACGTAGTCATTGTTGATCTAAATATAAATTTAAAGTCTTCTGTGATAACATATGTACATTCAACAATCGATTATAATTTAGAACATTACTGTACAGAGCTTAACGTACTTCAAGGATTTGACTGGACTTCGTCAAGTCTTTTGACATAACGGAAAATTGAAATGAAAGAATGGAAAATAGTGCACGATTGTTATTTTAAGACTCAGAGTGAGAATTATTATTACTGTAATATAGTCTAATGTCCCTAATCCATTATATCTAAAATAAATGATATTCATTTAATTTATCATGATATGTAGTAATATTTTATATTTTGCATTAATGTAGAATATTTGATTATTTTTTAATGTATTGCTGAACAGAGCAACAATATCATTGACAGAGCCATCCATTAGCGGATCCAGCGTTACTTAAAATAAATTATAGCTGCTAAATTTTAATTTCACAGTTTTTTGAGAAAAATGCTATTGGATTCAAAATTCTAAAGAATATAATTTTACGAACGGACTTGTCCATACTGAAGGTGCTTATAGAAATGTTAATATATTCCAAATTGTGCTGTGTAATTAATTTTGACTTACCCTAGATCCGCCACTGGAGCCATCTGATACACACTTTTGCTAGACTGGATTTTTTAGATAATGTACATATACTGCCCAAAACATGTTTTTATCGCTGTCTGCTTGCATTAAAGATGTAATTGTAATGTAGTCATTGTCGATCTAAATAAAAATTCATTGTTTTCTGTAATACATCCAGCAATCGATTACAATTTAGAGCTTTACTGTTTATCCTTGGATCTAAGTAATGATGAGTTTAATGATATGGTGGTTATTGTGGCTGTCATTTGGTCAAGGATTCACAATGAAAATTGGTTGGAATGAAGAACTTGAGTTTTGTGAGGAAGAATGGAAAAAATTTGTCGCGGACAAAATTGAAATCGATTCGAAATGCAACAATACTCGTACACGTTGTTGTGTTGAGGAGAAGAAATATCTTTTGGAGCGATTTAAAATGTTTAGTGAAATATGTCCACTTGAAGGTAAAATAAACAACAGTTTTTCCATAAAGAACATTAACTTATGTACTTAGCAAACATGGACTTAGCAAACAATCACAACACTTATGTGACAGAGGTACTGCTTCATTTAAAAAACGGTAATTGGCACCGTGTTCTTTGAAAGTGCATCAAAGTGAGGTATAATCCCCTGAAAATGTTAAAGTACTTAACTGATTTTCTTACACTAGCCTTACAGCATGAACGAAGCATAATCTCTCGCTCATTGTTCATATGTTTAGTTACAACAACAAAACAATATGACAGTACAGCCAAAATACATGCAGTTATATAATATCGTCTGTAGTTTTTGTGTATTGAGTTTTACGGATGACTGTCGATTTGATGCGAGTTGTTTACAATATTTTGTTGCGAAATGAGGCTCTTTTTCTACTTTTTCTTCTTCTTTGGACAAAAAGTTAAAGACAACTTAATTTTATTTAGGGACATGTGGATGTAGCCCGATTGTTATGAACGTTACCACCATAGAACGACGATATTTTAATTATAATGATTTCGTAAATTGGAAAGAACCAGTAAATTTCACATGTTCACATGAGTACATAAATGAAACAATAGAAAAGTCATATCTTAAACCTTCTGCTAGCTTTGGAATCGGACAACACAAAATCCCTTACAAGTATGTTTTATACGGTGTAAAAAATCACACTTGTTATGTTGTCATCAACGTGAACATAAAACGACAAGGTACATGCAAGGCAGTTCATTTTAGTTTCTTCTGTGTCAGTTTAATTTATAGTGCATCATTGTGATTATAGTGTTTGTATTTAACTTTGGTCAAATCCATACGGCACTTTGACCTATATTTAATTCATCTTCTCATAGAAATTTTTGCAATTGCAAAACTAATTGAATACACCCCGGAAAAGTCGAACATGTTTAATTCGTCATACATTTATTATAATAGATAGATAATTTTATTTTAACACGCTTACCATTGTCAGCATACAATTTGATTTCAAAATGGGGCGTGTGCAAAAATGAAAATACAATAGAATAGTGAACTACTTACAATTTACGATACACAGACACTAAAATGTACATTAAATGAAGTATAGCGTTAGAAATATTTACAATTAGTTGAGTACATATTTGTTTTGGGAAAGTGGGAAGCGATTTTTTCTTGAAAGGTCGCTAGAGAACTAATTTCTTTAAGTTCATTTGGCAATGAGTTCCAGACTTGAGGCTTTTTTTCATGCTATTGGTTCGTGGCTGAGGTAAGCATAGTGTTTTTTAAAACCACAATGTTGATAATCATTTGATTCGCTTATAATTTTGGATCCATGTTGTTAAGCAATTTGAACATGAGCTTTGCTTTACTTTTTGCCTTTGAATATCAAGAGACTCCTCTCAAAGCTCAAAGCAATTTCGTGATCAACAACATTACTCATGTTTGCGATGATTCTAGCAGCTCGATTTTGAAGTTTTGTTAAATTTTTTCCGGGGTGAAGTAAAACATGTCACTTACGTGATTTTGCGTACTGTAATGCTATTGATATTTTTAAGTATGTACATGAAGAATTCATTGTGAGCATAGATATGTATAATAAAGCCAAAGTAATCAGGTGCCCATATTGTTATCACCTAATTACTAGGTCCCTTTTGAGGAACGAAAACAAACTTTAATTTACGAGAGAGCTTTAATAACGACGTATTTCTGTTATTTTTTGGAACTTAAAGCCATGTGTAATGCATAAAACATGCTGAAAATATTTTAACTTGATAGAAGCGGTAGATTTTGTCTTCACGCTTATAAAGT